AGAAATACCAAAACCCCTTGGTAGTTCCACATCACCATAGCCTTGTCAATACCACCCTGGAAAGAGGTGGCAGGGACAGGTGTACACATTGAGTAGAATGTAAACCTCTGGGCAGCAGGCCAAGCAATTCAAAAGTACAAATCAAATTATATCTCTGCAGAAATTCTACTTGGGCTTTCATTCATATATATTTCTTATAACTTCAGATGTTAATAACTATACATTTTATAAAATCTGATCTAAAAATTTTCCATTTAATTTCACAAATTATATTTAAAAATTAAATTTGTTAATGAGTTATAAAAACTGTCCTGTTATCAATGAAAAGTAGTAACACAATAGATGTCAGGTTCAGGCATTTCAAAAAAATGAGGCAATGAAATAAATACAAAAAGTAAAAATTAGTTACCTACAAAGTGGTCTTACTGTAAAATGGAAAAGAATTCCCATGCATGAACTCTAAAATCATAGTTAACTTTACAGTTCATCAATCCAATGTACCCTGCCCTCACATTTAACTTATTTGTAAATACTTTCCCAAGACTACCTAAACACTTACTAATTGGTTAAATGTGCTGTCTACATTAATTTCTCTTAAAATTAAAGAAATTAAAGGTCCACTTTTGAGTTTTTTTGCTACGTCTGATATATTTTCAATGTATTCGATGTTTCAGAAAAGGTGCTTGTCAGGTTCTTAGGACACTTGAAAATGGCTCAAGGGACAATATATAGCCCTTTTACCTTGAACATATTCACTATCTTGGAGTTTGTTGAATAGATTCAGCTGTTCTTTCCTTCTTTTGAAACTCTTCCCTTATTCAAATAACTTAACTAAAGGATCTAAGATATTATCAATATAAAGAGAAAACATTTATTTCATACACATACGGAAATATAAAAAAGAACAAGTATTTCAGGCAGTGGAAGTAAAGTTATTCGGTAAAATTTCTTTTTTCTTTTTTCTTGAGTATGTATATGTGTATGTGTAACAGGTAGTTTTTCATATATCTTAATTTTCAAAGAACATTATTGTAAATAAAAAGATTAATAAATTCCTAGAAGGAGCCAATATTTTGATTACACAGTTTGATAGGCAAATGATTATTGAAACAAAACTTCAAAGATAGTTATAGTTATGTTTCAGTTATCTGGCTTTTCCAATCTCAAAGATAGGCACATTACATTTAATTTGCCAAATAACAATTTAATCCCGAGGAAGAAAATTTTCAGAATACCAAAACAAAATGTATACAATAACAACCAGGATTCTGTTAAAAATAAAGAAACCCCCCACCCACCTTTGTATAATATTAAACCACAGGCATCCTTAAATTTTTAAACTATATTGATAAAAGCAAATTCACTTGTTTAGCTATGTCTGATTAAAATATTTTGGTTATAATTAATATACAGATACAGAAATTTATCAGTATTAGTTCACATTTATAAATCATTTTCCAAAGCAACTAAATTCCTTATAACAAATAGCAAAATTAGGCATATAAATTTCAAATAAGAATCTCAATCTATGAGGTTTTTCGAACTGATATACAGATTTTGAGCATATAATATCCTTAGATTGTTCCTGTAAATTGGTATAATTTAATTGTAGCTTCAGAAAAAGGATGTTCAACAGATAGTATTTCTAAGGCATTAAAAAAGCTCAGTACAACCAATTCAAATTAGATATTGTGCTGTGCCCTGTCTAAAGACTCCCTAAGGAATTACAGATTTTATACTTGTACACTGAGAGTTCATTTTCTAATTCAGACAAGTAACTAGTTATGTCAAACCAAACCTGAAGAAAGTTTTATATCTCCCTTTCTGGGAGAATCCCCCCCACCCCCCACAATACCCACACTTTTATTTAGGTTAACAATAACCAGAACTTGAAGTGTCCAAACAACCTGATTAACTCAATGCTCTAGAATAAGTGGAAGAAATACCCTTTTCCTTCACTTTTACAGAAATTGAATTTATCTAAAAGAGTCATTTATTTTAAAGACATAGCCTAATTCCGACTACTTATAGTCAATGTAACTGTCTTGAGTCAAAAGACAATAAAAATGTAAGATAAACTTCAAAGGTTTTATAAGTATTAATAGCATTCTAAAATCTCTGGATAGAAGACTATTTTGGGGAGGAACAAAGTTTCTCTTCTGTATTGATAGCTTAATCACTTTCCAATCAGTTTGATTTAACAGCAGTTTGTGGGATTAATTTTTAATGACTTCTTATAAAGTTGTAACTGCTTCCAAAATCAGAAACCACAAGATGATGTACTCAAACACTACACCGATGTAATGCTGTTATGGAGGTATTTACAGAAAGGTGCAGATAAGAGCTCAGTTGTGAACACAAGTTAACATACAGTGGACTCCAAAATAGTAATTTGTTTGGATAGTATGGCAAGAAAAAATATTCTGAATAAGCAGCATAAAAATCTAGCTGTATTTTTAAACCTATTTTTATAAATCATAAAAACAAAGGAAAATAAGGTATTTATTCTAGAAACTCCATATACCTGTGGAAAAACGGAACACAAGTAATTTTTATTCAAGATTAACCTTAATCCCAAATAGCGTACAGCTAACAATTTACATATTTAGGATTTTGAAAGTATTGTAGAAATTGACACCATTAGAGGTGACATTAGTTTGTGCTCAGTAAACATTTTGTTAAGTAACACAAGTAAATTAACTTAAGATGCAAACTGATAGGTCTCAGGATTTAAAAACCTTGTAATTTCAAAGGCACAGAATTACAGCACATGTATAGGATGGGCTTTAAAAATGGGTATACGTAAACTTTTCCATGGTGTTGTTCCCCCTCCCCCCTTAAAGTGCTTACAGTGTTAAAGAATCTCCATCACTCTGTCTACAGTTTTCAACCAGAAGTCCTCACTGTACCTTAAGCCAAACTGAATATTAGGTATTTTACAGCTTTTTACAAAATGGCTGTAAAATCACATTATGGGCATACACAGCTCTTTGATCTCACTGCACAGAATTCATAACTGTTCAATAATGCTATACCATTACACCACACACCTTAAACTATTTCCATTTTTCCACAATTCCTTCCAAAATCAGCTTCCAAAGCAAAGCAAAGGAACATGAAAAGTTCCTGGGTGGGGGTGGGGGGTGGGGGGTTGTGACACAAAAGAACAATTTGGAGACAAGCTAATCTCCACAGTATCCATCTTCTGTGGAGCTTGTCTACCCCTCCTAGCCCTCCATCCCTCCTAAAGGTGGGCGCACTTGAGTCATGGAAAGAAGGCTCGTCCATCCCCACACACCCTCCCCAGCACCTCTGCTCCTGGTCCTCAGACAGGGACTCTGTGGAGGTGATGAAAACCATAGGAAAAGAGAAGCTGTCCCTTTAAAATGCCCTGCTCTGTCCCATATCCCACGTGGAACCAACATCAGCAGCACTTTCCCATTAACTTCAATGTGATGCAAGAGGCACCATGCCTGTATATACATAAAACCAGAAAACACCCAGCTTCACACTCTGCTGAGGATGAACAGGTGAAAGCAAACGTGTCAGGGAGGGAGAAGCCAGGCAACTCCCCACCCCTCTCCAAAAGGTGCTCCAGCCTCGCACTCCAGCCTCTCAATCACCTCTCTACCCCTCCTCTAGAGAGCTTAGTTTAAATAAAGGAGGGAGCCACGAACAAAACCTGAAGCAGAAAATGCGACGAAAATGCCATCTAAAGCCGGAAAGGTTTATTCTCCCAATCACACATATTAACTCTATTAAGAAAAAATGGCATCACTTTTTTTCCCCCCACCAACCCCCCCCCAAAAAAAACAGCAAAGATCACGAAAAGAGAGTTATAAAATTGCAAATAGAGTGTTTATCTTATCTCAGATCAGCCCCCATTACCAATAAGTTTAGCAGTTTCTGCACTACCACCTCCCCCCCCTCCCTCCCCCTCCTTCTCTTGCATCGGATTTTCACGTTTTCTCATTGTCGGTTGAGTTATAAAAGGCTTTTGCCCTTCGAAAGTTTTAAAAAAATAAATAAATATTAACTCCTTGGTCCCTGCGAAGTCAAAATGGACTTCAGGGGAAAGGCGGTTCGTGCTTTTACCTTTAGCGAGAAAAGGGGGAGCATCCCGGACTTTTAGGGATTTTTTGCGATTTTTTAAAAATTTTTATTTGGTTATATGCCTGAGTTCTCCCTCCATTTTGGTTGTTTATGATACTGACAACAAGCTGTCCCTGCTCTGTGCAGATCTCCTGCTTTCATTTAGCACCCCCTCCCCCTACCCCCCCTCGCAGCCACCCAGCCGGGGCTCACACCTCCCCGAAGACCCCGCGGCCGGACCCCGGCTCGCCCACCTGAGGAAAGGGCAAAAACAAATTCATTTCGCCAAAAAAGAAAAACCTCTTTTGAAAAAAAGGGGCAAAGTTACCCCAAGTCACTCAAAGTGCCCCCCAAATATTGCCGACCGCGGGTTTCCGCCAGGCCCTTTGGGAAGCGACCTTCCCCCGGGATGTTTTGGTGGAAAATGCGGAGAGTTTACTCTTAAAACTGAATTTATATTAATTTTTCCCTTATTTTTCGGGTCTCTAATGTCTTCCGCTCTCGCTGCTGCCGCTGCCGCTGTCACAATATTCACAGCACCAGAGAGGAGGAGGAGGAGGAGGAGGAGGAAAACTTTTCAAACTTTCCAGACCCTGAATAAAGGTTTTTTTTTTCTTTTTTTTTTTTTTCCCACCGACCTCACCTTTGGGTCTCCAGCCGCATTGCCCCCTGCCCTGTCAGAAGCCACTTCGGGAGACCTCACACCCTCCATTAATTATTTTATTTTATTTTTTATTATTATTTTTCTCTCTGGGGTCCTGAGCAGGGGCTGAGAGTAGCACAAACTTTTCCTCCTCCGGCCGCCGCCGCTGTTCCTCTGCCCCCTCGGCTAGTCCCATAATTTAAATAACCCTGATATTTCTCCCGCTAAACGCCTCTCCGCCGCCCCGGACCCCGGGAGAACTCACCGCGGGGCTTTAACATCCTCCCTCCGGCCCGTCCGCCGCCTTTACACCGCCCGCGGAATTTCTAATAATTTTTTTCTCATATTTCGGGCTGGACGCGGCGGGCCTGGAAATTGTTTCCTTACGCCTCTTTCCAGCAGCCATTGTAGTGTATGCGCTGCCCCTGCAGCCCAACTTGCAGCTGCCGCCGCCGCCGCCGCCGCCGCCGACGTCGCGCCCACCGCCGCCTCCTCCGGCCTGCTCGGCCCCCGCCCCCGCCTCTCGCCGCCCCGCCTCTGGTCCCCGCCCGCCGCTGCGCCCGCCCCTCCCCGAGTGCGCTCCGCCCACTAGACGCCGCGCCGCCAGGAACGGGCCCGTCTATTGGCGGGTGGAGCCGCCGATCAAGCAGAAGTGTTAAGAGGCGGGCTGCGGGGCGGGGGGCGCGGAGGGGCGGGGAGGGCGGGGCGGTGCGCGAGGCCCCGCCCACCCCTCCCTCCTCGGCCCTCCTCCCGCCAGCTGGGGGCGGAGCGAGACCCGCCCGCCCCCGCCGCGCAGGGCCAGGATCGGCTGTCAGTCTGGCGGCGGCGCGCGCCGATTGGACCAGCGGCCGCCGGGGAGCGGGGGCAGCAGGTTAGGGTGCGCGCTACTTAAGGTCCAGCTGCGAGAGCTATTGACGTGTTTGGAGCTGGAGACTGTCGGGTCCCTGGCGGAGCGGCACCTCGAGGTGAGTGATCCCGCCACCCTCCTTCCGTGGAGCCTGCAGGGAAGGGGGAATCGAGTGCTGCACCCGAGCCGCCACGGGGCCCCAACACACTTCCGCGCGAAGCTGCTTCCACCAGGCCTCGCCGCGGCGCGGGCCCCTTCCCCTCGCTTCTCCTCCCCGCGATGCGGGTCTCTTCGGGCCGGGGACGAGGAAGGTGACCCGTGCCCGGGCCACCCCAGCTGTTTCTCCAGCCTCCTTCCCAGCCTTTGAAGCGTGATCGCCTGCACCTACACCCAGTTTCCTGCGTTGTCCTCGCCCCCTGCCCCTCGGCACCGTCGAAGGTGGAAGCAAGGTGTGTTCACCTGTGCCCGCCGTCCACGGTTCGACGGACGGGCTGCATCGCGGAAGGCAGCGAGGTCTCGGGCTTGCATCTCTCCGGCTTCTCCATTCGATTGCCCGCCTCCCCCCCGGTATGCCACCCTGACTTCCTGACCCTGTCTCTCTGCACCTAGCGGTGGGTGACGGGCTTGAGGTCCTCACAGGACATTTCCCAGCTCCCCGAGAGTTGCATCCGCGCGTTGTCAGAACCACAGAGCCTGCCTTGGCTCTGACCAGCCAGGGCCCTTCCCCGTCCCTTTCAAAGCTACTTGGAGAGTGGGGATGTGATGGGAAGGAAATCAAATACTTTTGAAGGCAGGCCGCCCTTTAGGGGAGATTTTAGAGTTGTTCCTCAAATATGCTTATGAGGCCCTTCCTTCTCTTTGGTTTTCTTTCTGGCAGGTAGAGCTGGGTAACTTTTGTCTGGTACCTGCAGACAGTAAGTAGACGAGGCCTCTCCCTAGCGGAACACTTGATCTTGCCCTTCAGCCCGCTCCTCACTGTAAATGGACATTTCTAGTTGACACCTGAGGGATTTATGCAAAGAAGGTGCCATTCGGAAGTCCAGACTTAGACGGACGTATGTTTAGAATTCAGAGAGGAAAGGAAAGGAAATGGGAATAAACTCATGCTGCAGACTTAATTCGGGTACATGTGATGTCATCTAGGTGTTATTTCTAAAGAACCCCTAATGATGATGACAAAATGGAGAGTAGGACGCTTTCACATAAGGCATGCAACCTGACTTTTGTCTGCGTCTGATCGTTGTTGAGATTATGTCCGAGGAATGTGAACAGCTAAGCAGAGGTCTGAGTTCTCACGCCATAGGATAGATGTCAACAGCAAGGCTGTGCATTTAGTACCATCATTTCCTCTAGGAAGTCAAGCCTGGAAAAGAATTGTGTTCAGTAGACAAAGACACTTCTAGATATATTCGAACAACATCTTGAATAGCCCTTTTGCCAAGATGTTTTTGTTAGCCAGTTATATTCATGTACTGTTCTATGAAAATCATTAAAAAAAAAAAAAAAAGGATTGCATCGTGGGTACGAATAGTTAAAGGACCCCAGGATGACTAAACTTTTTTCCATCCTTCTTTGCAAAGGTTGGTCTCTTTTAGCCTGGACAGCCTGATCGTTCCATAATCGAAGAAACCGAACTAGGTGACTCTTGATTGAGAATACCTCCACTTTTCAGGAGCTTGTGGGGTTTGATTTTTTTCCTGAATGTATTTTTTTTTTAACATGATATATTTTTTTGATGGTCCCATCTTGGGCAATGAAAGTAGAAACCATTTCATACAAAAATTCTGACCTCTGTCTGGTTATACTGACTTAGTTTTTTATTCTGTCGCATTTTGTAGGTCATACTACATTATTTGCTGTCTTTTCCTAGAACAGATTTCAGGAATATAAATTAAGTCAGCTCTTTAAACTTAGTGCAGAGCATTTAAAAATATTTGTAGTCCATCCTGTGTGGCTCAGTGGTTGAGCACTGACCTATGAACCAGGAGGATACTGTTCCATTCCTGGTCGGGGCACATGCCTGGGTTGTGGGCTCCATCCCCAGTAGTGGACATGCAGGAGGCAGCCAATCAAGGATTCTGTCTCATCATTGATGTTCCTATCTCTCCATCTCCTGTCCTCTCTGAAATCAATAAAAATATATTTGAAAAAAAAATATTTGTAGGTGGTTCATCCATGGTATACAATATATTGAAACAAAATCACTTTGAAATATTGTTTTTATAATTTTTTCTTTTAGTTCCTATGACATGTCTTTGAAGATAATAGGCATACCAACTTCAGTTGAATTCATTTATAGAAAGCAATTGTCATGGGATATAGTTGACATGCCAATTATATGAGTATATGATTTGGCTGGGAATAACTAATTGGCTCTTAGGGAACTGTTATCACTTTTAATCAATAAAGACTTCTGCAGGCTGTATCTGGAAGGTTTGAGTTGAAAGATTAATGAATGACAGTAGCATTCCCTGATTCGTTCAACCCAGAAGTATCAATTAAATATAAGATAATGCTGGAAGACAGGTTTCAACTTTTTTAAAAAAAACTTTTTAAAAGTCAACTAAGCAATAACTTTGTTTTTTTGGTATATTGGCACTGCAGTGCTGGCCACAGAATAGGCATCCATGTTCTTTAGTTAACAAATGTTTTTGTTGAAGTTGGGTTATACTAAATTATTCCACATTTATTTTGTATGCTAATCCTTTATATAATAAAGAACTAATATGCTAATTAGACCGAACTGCAGAATGACCATCTGGACGACCTTCCGGATGAAGCCGACCTTCCGGATGAAGCCGGGGCTTCGAGGACTGGCCGAGGCTTCGAGGGCCGAGCCCCTTGCATGACAAATTCCATGCATCGGGCCTCTAGTCAATGTATAATAGGGAAGTAACTGTTAGAGTGCGTGCTGTATTCTTGGATTTTGTTAGTATAATTAATTGCTTAACCTTTAGAAATAAGAATAAACTAAAATTGAATGCTAGCTGAACTATCTTTCTTTTTGGACTTTATAATCAAATTTCAACAGATGTATTTAAATATCGCCTTTGTGCTGAGGCACCATGGCAATGCAAAGGAAAAACATATCCAAGTCTTTTTTTTTTCAAAATACATAGGCTGTAGGAAGTTGCTCATTAGATAATCAATATGCCAGAAGTAATTTTCAAGCACTTATGGGGCTAATGAGATTTATTGATTTGTTTTATGTCATCCACTATATAACTCTTTTCCCCAACATTTCCTCCCTTCAGTAAGAAGACTGTTAGGATGCCAATGGTAGCACGAAGACTGAGAGATCCTGACATAAATCCTTGCTTGTTGGTAAGGTGGTTTGCTTTTAATTTTCATGAGTGTTAAGTTGGGAAAACAGGCTTCTTCTGATTTTGTGGGCATCTGTTTTCTTCAGTTCTTTTTAAAAAAATGTTTTTCTCTATTTGCTTTTTAATTTTAATGGGATTTTTTAAAATAAAGAACTTTTATATTTCCTACTCAGAAATCCAGTAAATATTCACTTCAATCTTTTTCTACTATGTCAATTATTGTTTTTTAATTAATTTAGTTATTTTTATTAAAGTATAAGTGACATATATTAGTTTCAAGTGTACAACATAGTTATTCAACATTTATATACCTTATGATGTGATAACCACAATATGTCAAATATAACCATCTGTCACCATAAGTTATTATTGACTGTATTCCCTGTGCTATACATTACATCCCTGTCTTTTATTTTATAACGGGAAGTTTGTACCTTCACCTTTTTCACCCACCCCGACCCCCCTCCTTTTGGCAACCATAAGTTTGTTCTCTGTATTTAGCAATCTGTTTCTGTTTCTGCCATTTTTTAAAAGTTATTTCTGTACAAAAAAAAAATATTCCTAACCAGTGTATCCTTATTTTACTAGAGCATTTTTAGATATGCATAATTTAGCTAACAAAGATTTATCTCCTTTAAGTTTTCCATATTTATATAATATGCAAGCATTTAATCATCACTATAATGTTAAACAGGCATATGTAACACTGAGGAAAATTTTTAGTCCAAACATGGAAAGTTGGCAAGTATGATATTTTAAAATTGTCACTGAAATTTATGTTTTAATAGCAATAATTTCATCATGTCCTTGAGACCACCTGGCGGAGAGAAAGGGGCTGATATAGAATTAGTCTATTAAACTCTAAAGTTTTTCACAAAGGTATATGAACAATAAGCTTTGTTGGCATTTATTTGGTATGACTAGCAATACTTACTTCTGGTTTTGTCACCCTGGGATAATGTAATCATCAGACTAGTGCTATGAAAATGATATTCCCTAATCCTATATGGATTTTCCAAGTATACACATGCATTAATTATTTGGCATAGAAATTTAGATTTGTTCTGTATATTATGTTTTCAATTGCTTTATTAAGTCTCTTTAGATAGGATATATTTCTTAGATCCATGAAGCAAATTACCTACCCATTTAGTTAAAGCTTTCCTTTAGGTAGTGACCTCTCAGAATCATACCTTTTTCTTTGAAGTTTGTTATCCAATCTACTTCCAGTTCAGATAGCTTGAATTTCATTCCCAAATGGCAGCTACCCTCCTTTGAACTCATAGCCCTGTGTTGCTCACTTTAGTTTTGA